GAAGGCTGGAGGCAGTGGAGATGTCATGTCTGAGGGCAATGTGTGGTGTGAATATAATGCAGAGAATTCGTAGTTTGGAAGTTAGGAGGAGGTGCGGGATTACCAAAACTGTTGTCCAGAGGGCTGAGGAAGGGTTGTTGAGGTGGTTCGGACATGTAGAGAGAATGGAGCGAAACAGAATGACTTCAAGAGTGTATCAGTCTGTAGTGGAAGGAAGGCGGGGTAGGGGTCGGCCTAGGAAAGGTTGGAGAGAGGGGGTAAAGGAGGTTTTGTGTGCGAGGGGCTTGGACTTCCAGCAGGTATGCATGAGCGTGTTTGATAGGAGTGAATGGAGACAAATGGTTTTTAATACTTGACGTGCTGTTGGAGTGTGAGCAAAGTAACATTTATGAAGGGGTTCAGGGAAACCGGCAGGCCGGACTTGAGTCCTGGAGATGGGAAGTACAGTGCCTGCACTCTGAAGGAGGGGTGTTAATGTTGCAGTTTAAAAACTGTAGTGTAAAGCACCCTTCTGGCAAGACAGTGATGGAGTGAATGATGGTGAAAGTTTTTCTTTTTCGGGCCACCCTGCCTTGGTGGGAATCGGCCAGTGTGATGATAATAAAAAAAAAAAAAAAAAATGAATAAACAATCTAACCAACCAACCCAAACCTAAATAACTATTGTACAAAAATCTTAAGAAAAATTATGTAAATAGCCAATGGTTTTATTGTGGCACTGTAAGTATGTACAGGCAGGGGGGGGGGGCCTGTTTATACAGCAGGGAAGGTTCTGGGCTACTGCTGTAAAGTGAAAAGGACTTTAAAGTGAAACAGCCTTTTTACACCTTCAAATGCACATAAAAGCCTGATAACATGTTCACACTATCATATATTAAATGAACAATAGACCTAGGCCTAAAAAATGCATATACACTATACACATTACTTACCTTAAAATATTTTTGTCCTTTGTTTATAATGAGTTTTGAATATATTTACTGTAGGAAGTCTGAATAAATGAAGAATGGGTTTAATTGAAAACTGCTGCATTAGTGAAATACCGTGAAATGAAGCACTGTAAAGAGGGGACTCTCCTATATATTATGTATGTTTGGAGACAGTTATTACATTGCATTCTGACTTTTATGATGGAATTTATATTGATATGAGTAACTTACGAAAATGAGGATGGGGTGGGTTATGAGTGTTAGGAGTCTTGGTCATTCATCTTGTCTAGCCATGCTAACAGAACACTAAAAGGTCTCTCCAGAATACTTTAAGTAAACTTAAAAAATATACAGGAAAAAGTAACACGGTACTGTATATAGCTACTATAATTTAATAAAATATAGTTCAGAAAGATTAGCCTGAGTCTTAAACTAACATCAATACACATCATATCAATGTCAAAACAGAATATGTCAGTTAGCTTAGGTGATATGGCACAGTTATCTTTACTGCTCTTAAGAGACCTAAAACTCTTGAAAAAAATATACGAAAAATAGTACACGTATGCTTCACAAATTTAATGACAATCCATGGCAGAAAATGTAACATGGATCAAAAATAAATGAACTTCATTACAGATAACTGGGTAAAAATAAATAACTTCATTGCATAAAACTTTATATGGGTAAAAAAATAGTTATATCTGCTGGGATAATCTGGAATCATTGATCCATTTATTTACAAATAAATAGAAGTGAAAAAACATGGTATCTGCACACTAAACAACACAAAGCAGAACACTTGTAAAGTATAACAAAAAATTCATTCTTCAGTCATGCATGGAAGGAAGTATTTGAAGTTTATGTAGTTTTGCAGACTAAAGCATTGTTACAATGAAATGTATTTACAGATCAACCAATTGAGTGAAAAATAAGAAACAAGTGTATGAAAATGAACAAAGTACAATACGTACTATAAATCAGAAATTACGAATGCTGAAGAAAAACGTCAAAGTAAATTACCAAATAAATGGTGACAAGTTACTTAACATAATGTGCACAAGTCTGGACTAGTAAATTCCTTTTTATATGGAAAAATCTTATCACACTTAGTAATAAATAGGAAAATACCACATTAGAAGAAATCTCCATAAATAAATTAGAACATCCTTGAATATATAAAAATATAAAACATTCATATCTAAATACAATAAAGATTTAAAGAGCATTAAGTACAAAACTTATATATGTAAGAATAATATACTAGTGCATCTAATAGTAATGTAGAATGGATTCAATTTATCAACTTTGAAGAAAGACAAGCTTGAGTTAGAGGTCCAGTGTATTTATATAACATACAGGGTGATAGAAATGGCATCTTAGAATAATGGAGGGGAATGGTATCACAAAAATGGGATTACCCATGAATACTTCTATTAGTGCTCTGTTTATCTGGATATTTGCATAAATACTGTACCATAGTACAGAACCATCAACTTTAAACAAGCTGCAATGAACTATGGGTGTCTTGTAATTCTTGCACACTTTGAAATGCAAACACAACCATCCTTACTTAACATTCTTTGTTTTGTCTATTTTCCCCAAATGAAATTTTCATTAGGGCAAAATTTTTACAATATACCTTAAGGACATAGTTGCTCTACAAGTAATTGATGACTGCATGTGCTTGTTAGGTCTGTGATAAAAGAACCAACCAAAATTCACAGTTATGTTTCAGCTGCAGGTAGTGACTTCCTTAAAATATTGTCAAGCAATGAGTTTTCATAATCCCTCATTAAGCACATGTAACACTGGTAATCAATCTAATGATCATGATTACCATAAATCAGATCACTATATTAACATTTTATTGCTATGCATGTGCTAGGAAATCTTAATATTAAAATGTTAAGCCATTTACAAGCCTTTCAATGTCTTGTGATTATCTTCTTACTCTTAATATTAAGAATATGAATTTAATATTAAATTATTTCTTGTTACTGGGTTCATGTATGTATATCTTTGGAACAATTCTTACCAGACTGCCCAGGTTACAGCATTATTTTATTTTTAAAACTTAGTAAACCATATACAGGGCCTTAAATAAGAATAATACCAATGTTACAATTACTCTGAATAATGGTAAATAATAATTAAAATTGCATACACAAAAATATTTAATTTTGAAGCCTATACCTCTGAAAAACTGCTTCCTCTCGAATTATCTTTGGTAAAATTACTATAATGGAATAGCCTCTAGACAGACCAAATGTAACAGTTCACTTGTATCACTGATCCAAAATGCATAAATTCCTGTGTCCAATATTTCGCTTCCTAATTACCAGTAGACCTACAATTCAGTCAGCTTTTATTTAATCAAAGTGGCAAAGCTATGTTTATCACTTCAGTACCTTCCATAACCATCAGTATGAAGCATTTTCCTTCATCCATTTTCTATTTTGTATTTTGTAATTAGTTGTAAGTCTCAATAGTATACTGTAAAGGCATCGATAAAGACCAATCAGGAAGAAAATGATCAACGTAGCTACTGTTACACACACACAACACACACACACACACACACACACACACACACACACACACACACACACACACATGCACGCACACGTGCACGCACGCACAACCTGATGACACTGGAAGACAGGAGAGTTAAGGGGCATATGATAATGACATAAAATACTGAGAGGTATAGACAAGGTGGACAGAGACAGAATGTTCCAGAGATTGGACACAGCAACAAGGGGTCACAGTTGGAAGCTGAAGACTTAGATGAACCATAAGGATGTTAGGAAGTATTTCTTCAATCACAGAGTTGTCAGGAAGTGGAATAGCCTGGGTAGTGATGTACTGGAGGCAGGTTCCATACATAGCTTTAACAAGAGGTATGATAAAGCTCACGAAGTGTGAAGAGTGACCAGTGACCAGGTAGCGGCCAGTTGAAGAGGCAGGGCCAGGAGCTGTGACTCGACCCCCACAACCACAACTAGGTGAGTATGCACGCACACACACATGCGCATACGCACACACACGCGCATGCGCACACACACAAAGCTTATACAATTACTGCAACACCCTAATTAAACGGATTCTCGATTTACCAGATAAGTCTACGGATGGACAACATCCAGAAACAACAGAGTCCATTAAATTCAGAATTGTCCACTACTACTGCAGTCGATTACATAAATTTTCGGATTTAATGGACAACGTCTGTTAAACCCAAAATTACTGTAATATAATTCTGGAAAAACAATCATCATTTAGATTTAAAAAACTGGCCTTATTGGACACCACATCCTCCCTTCCATATTAACCCATTAAATCAATTGCTCAGTATGTCATGTGTTATCTTCCCAAATTCTAACACTTATAAAAAGATTCCTGGCCTTTCAGTTATCTACTGTTTTCATTATACTTGAATAAACATAATATAAAACAGCTATAAATTATAATCACTTATTGTATGTGACTGAAATCAGTACTCATAACTTTTTTCATATCTCTATACATTTATTAATTTATCAGTTTTATTGTCCCTCTCACTGTTGCTTAATATTACTAATAAAATAAGCAATACTTTTTTTTTGTTAATTAGTAAATGTTCTATTAATTTCCTATCCCATTCATTTTCTTATGTAGATTTGTATGTTAGACTAAACATGAGTGAAATGTATTTGTACACTTTCTCCCCATGTCTGAAGTCTATAAGGGACTTTCCCATTGATACACCTTTCTGGATACTTTCTCTTAATACCAGGAGTTTTAAGACACTTGCCATGGATTCAAACCTCACCTGTTTCATGGTTTGTTTACCTGCTACTCTCAATTCCCACTCCCATTCATGCCTTAAACTTCGTTATCTCTATACAAATGGTTATAACTATGAACATAATTTTTAAAGGGGTAGACTGGTAAGCCAGCAGAAGGCCTCGGTCAGATGACCAAAAGCTCCAATGGTGGGTCATCATCTAAGACCTGCATCAGTAACACAGTAAAAGCATTGGATGATTATGTTCTGTGAACCCAAAAATTTCAAATTTTTGGGACCGACTATCCAATATTTAATTTTCATAAAAATTAAACATGTTACCCTTTCATCTATACCAGCAGCATAGAATAGTTTCACTACTTGTTTTTCTACGCTATCTTGCGTCATGGTCTCTCTTGCGCTCCTATACTCACACTTGTTTGTGCGCTCTCTCTCTCTAGCTCTCTTTCTTTCCTTGGAAACTCTTCTGCAATTACATTTAAAAATATAAAGAGGAAGTGTTACCCAGTAGAGAGCATCCCAGAAAACTTTAGGTTAGTTTTTACCTTACTCAAACAGCATGTCCATCATCAAATGTAGATTTAAGAGTTTAATGGCACTTCATTATCTAAAAATACTATATAAAATATCAAATCCACACACAGACTTAAGCCACATCATAATCTGTAACAAAAATTAATTGGAGAATTCACACCAAGTAGTGCATATGAAAATATGACTTGAGAACACCAGTGTTTATAAATCTACAAAATTGTATTTGTCCATCTGTCTGTAACAATTTATTTATATAATTTTCTTAAAATTTTGTTACAGGATCCTTATAAAAATTACAGAAAGATCATGTCACCATTACTGCTCATTATTGTGGAGTCCTATGTACCATTAAAAAAAATTGCTTAAAAAAATAAATTTATGCCCTACAGCACATGGTTATACATGGCATTTATAACAAATGATATTCTTTACTACCGATTAGTTCACATCAGGTGTTAAAACTATGCTCCTCCTTCACTTAACTCCTTTTAAACATAATACTGAAAAAGTGTTCTTAAGCTAAATGATCATTAAATATGAATAAACACATACGATATTTGGTAATAATTGTACTCTGAAGAATAACCCTTTCAAATGACAAACATTTTTTTTTAACATGCAAAGTTAATCAATGTATGACAAAACATCAATACTAAAAGATGTTAATAAGGAAACTTTGATCAGTTCCTAACTCACAGACAGGAACTTTGGAGATGTCACACATTCCAGAATGTAGTATTTTTTATATAAAAATAAATTAAAATCCATTAAATCATATTATTGATAAGAATATCTTAACTTTAATTCTGTCTCGCTCTTCAAGTGGCAGTCTCCTTACACAAAATTATTGATGTACAATACCATACTAATACTTGGTAAGAAAGTTTATAAAATTATTGTATAATTTTTCCCAGCATACTTTATTTATTATTACTTTTTCATATAGAAATATTTATATTCATGTTTTCTACGATTAAATTTATTCAACTGCTGTTAATATTCATTGGGAACCTATTAAAAAATGTTGATTTTTTTTATAAAAGTTCCTTATAAAATCCCTTGTTCTTATACATACAGTAATTCACTTTCAGTCAACATCCTTATAAGTACCAGGTAACAAGGTCATTTTATTATATATCATTATAGGATACTGTATTCTGATGGAGTAATATTTCTGACTGTCCAAATATTTCTAACAAAATCAATTCTATATATTAGCAATTATACAAGTTTAAATTAAATATTCTCGAGTACAAAGTTACACTTAAAATAGGCTGTAGGATTTTTAAGCTTTTGTTTTACCTGCCTCTCAAACTTGTCTCTAACACGAGAGAATTCCATCATATCCCGAGGTTTCTCTTGGCGCCAGAGTTCATCGAAAGAGAAAAAAAGGTAGCAGTAGAACTGATGGAATGCCCGTACTTCTGGAAACCTCTTAGATGCATTGTAGAAGTGAATCTTTGCATCACCACTTTGAAGAAGGCTATAAGCCATATGGGTGATATTGATGCCAACAATGGCGAAGGAGTACCTGGAAAATTTCAATGCCATAAATTATTAGATGGATAGTCAGAGAGACACAAATACAGTGGACCCCCGCTTAACGATCACCTCCAAATGCGACCAATTATGTAAGTGTATTTATGTAAGTGCGTTTGTATGTGTATGTTTGGGGGTCTGAAACTGACTAATCTACTTCACAATATTCCTTATGGGAAAAAATTCGGTCAGTACTGGCACCTGAACATACTACTGGAATGAAAAAAGTTCGTTAACCGGGGGTCCACTGTACAATGAAAATGTTTTAACACGAGATGTGTCCCTTCTAGGTAAAAAAAAAAAAAAAAAAAGGAAACATGTTTCCTATCATTCATTCCATTCACTCAACAGATGTCTAGCCAGGAGTGTGCAGACATCACAATTTCAATGACCATCCAAACTGTAACAGCGTCACCCCTCATTCAAAGTGCAAACATTGTATTTCCCACCTGCAGGATTCAAGTTCAACTATGATTTCTTTCATTCAATTCACAAGTCTTAAATCTTTAAAAAATTATTTTGAAGCAATTAAATATTGACATAATTTTACCATCACATACGGTATGTTAAATACAACACCAGCTATGGTGTACCATGGTGAATGCTCATTACAGAATCCAATATACTTTCAACTAGAATCACGGTTAACTGATATTTTTCAGTTTTAAGATACTGTACAAGTCCTAGCTCACTCAAATACCACTTGCATGAATGAATAGTTATCAAGTAATCTGTTTTTTTTATTTTTATTGTTTTTTTATTATCACAATGGCCGATTCCCACCAAGGCAGGGTGGCCCGAAAAAGAAAAACTTTCACCATCATTCACTCCATCACTGTCTTGCCAGAAGGGTGCTTTACACTACAGTTTTTAAACTGCAACATTAACACCCCTCCTTCAGAGTGCAGGCACTGTACTTCCCATCTCCAGGACTCAAGTCCGGCCTGCCGGTTTCCCTGAACCCCTTCATAAATGTTACTTTGCTCACACTCCAACAGCACGTCAAGTATTAAAAACCATTTGTCTCCATTCACTCCTATCAAACACGCTCACGCATGTTTTTGTAGTCACATAAACAAAAGCATAAAAGGGGCTATACTGTACATTTTTTTTTTTTTCAACAAGTCGACCGTCTCCCACCGAGGCAGGGTGACCCAAAAAAGAAAGAAAATCCCCAAAAAGAGAATACTTTCATCATCATTCAACACTTTCACCACACTCACACATAATCACTGTTTTTGCAGAGGTGCTCAGAACACAACAGCTTAGAAGCATATACGTATAAAGATACACAACATATCCCTCCAAACTGCTAATATAACATATAACAAATAAAAAGTTATTAATTGTTTGAAAAATAAATACAGATGACCAGTGTGCAACTATATCATCAATTACTTTCAGCAAAAGCGATTGTTGTATGTTTTGCTGTTGAGAAGAAAGTGTGTGCATGCATGTGTGGAAACAAGCTCTGATCTAGTAAATGTCACTACAGTATTGTAGTGTATTATCACTAGTACAGTAGCTAAATACCAATTCCCATTTCATGACAGCACCACTATTACCAAACTCTGAGTTAGAACAAGGTGTGAAGTGAATTTCACAAGGGGGGAAATTTCCCCAATAAGAGGCCAAATGAAGTTGCAAGGTATTTAGATTTGACCTGAGGAAGGGGACAAGAGGTTTGATTCCACAGATCAAGATACCAATTGCCACACCAAGGGGCTTCCTCTGGAAAATGAAGGAGTGTTGGAGGCTCGATCCTGACTGAGTAGCATGTGTGATAGACATGCACATGCTACCACTTACAGCTAGGCTGTTATAAATAAGAAGCTGGAAGTCCAAGCCCCTTGCACACAAAACCTCCTTTACCCCCTCCCTCCAACCTTTCCTAGGCCGACCCCTACCCCGCCTTCCTTCCACTACAGACTGATACACTCTTGAAGTTATTCTGTTTCGCTCCATTCTCTCCACATGTCCGAACCACCTCAACAACCATTTTTGTATGTATATCTAGTGAGGGGAGTCAGGGAAACCGGTTATTTTTATATAGCTAGACTTGAGTACTGGAAATAGGAAGTACAATGCCTGCACTTTAACCCTTAAACTGTCCAAACGTAGATCTACGTTTGCACTTCGACCTTGATTTTCCCCATTTGAAAGCATGTAAAAAAAAAAACTTAGATCTATGTTCAGAACCCCCCCGCACGTGGACGTAGATCTACGTTTGGACAGTTTAAGGGTTAAAGGAGGGGTTTGGGATATTGGCAGTTTGGAGGGGTATGTTATATATGCTTCTAAACTGTTGTATCTGGATACCTCTACAAAGACAGTGATTATGTGTGAGTAAGGTGAAAGTGTTGAATGATGATGAAAGTATTTTCTTTTTGGGGATTTTCTTTCTTTTTGGGTCACCCTGCCTTGGTGGGAGATGGCTGACTTGTTGGAAAAAAAAATCTAGTAGATAAAAGATTAGGTAATGAAAGATTGGACATCAGATTGGAGGGAGAGAGTATGGAGGAGGTGAAAGTATTCAGATTGTGGATGAGTGGAACAAACTCCCGAGTACAGTTATTCAGGTTAAAACGTTGTGTAGTTTTAAAAATAGGTTAGATAAATACACGAGTGGGTGTGGGTGGGTGTGAGTTGGACCTGACTAGCTTGTGCTGCTGGGTCTGGTGCCGTGCTCCTTCCTTGAGTGGAGGTGACCAGACTGGGTGGGTCATTGGGCTAATCTGGGGGGGGGGGGGGACATGCACCTGCTCCACATAGGTCAGTGGGCCTGTTGCAGTGTTCCTTCTTTCTTATGTTCTTATGTTCTTAATTAGGAGTGGACGTGTCAGCAGATGGGTCTATGAAGGATGAGGTGAATCATAGAACTGATGTGGGGAAAAGGGTGAGTGGTGCACTTAGGAGTCTGTGGAGACGAGGTGCGGGATTACCAAAACTATTATCCAGAGGGCTGAGGAGGGGTTGTTGAGGTGGTTCGGACATGTAGAGAGAGTGAAACGAAGTAGAATGACTTCGATAGTGTATAAATCTGTGGTGGAGGGAAGGCGGGGTAGGGGTCGGCCTAAGAAAGGTTGGAAGGAGGGGGTAAAGGAGGTTTTGTGTGTGAGGGGCTTGGACTTCCAGCAAGCATGCATGAGCATGTTTGATAGGAGTGAATGGAGACAAATGGTTTTTAATACTTGACGTGCTGTTGGAGTGTGAGCACAGTAACATTTATAAAGGGATTCAGGGAAACCGGCAAGCCAGACTTGAGTCCTGGAGATGGGAAGTACAGTGTTTGCACTCTGAAGGAGGGGTGATAATGTTCCAGTTTTATAACTGTAGTGTACGTATGCCTCTGGCAAGACAGTGATGGAGTGAATGATGATGAAAGTTTTTTTTCTCTTCGGGCCACTCTGCCTTGGTGGGAATTGGCTGATGTGTTAATAAAAATAAAAATAATGTACTGTATCTAAAACAGTTTGGGGGGAAATGTTTTCAAATGGTATAAATTTTGAACCCTTTGAAAATATCAATGAATTGTGTGTCACCAAAAATCGGGAAAGAAAATTTTTTAATTGCCCAAATGAAACGGGGGAAAGTGGTTCAGTAAAGAAAAATACAGTAAATTTTAAAATGTTTTGTTTAATGAAAAGGGCGGCCAGAATTATCTCCAGCACAGCAGGGGTTTTGTAAGCAGTTGTGGTTTTTGGAAAGCATCTAGTTTGGAAATTATTACAACACCCATGAACAGGGCCCATAAAATAACTTTGAATGAGACCAAATGCCCCAAGAGTGGGTCAAATTAAATCGGTATTAATAAAACTTTTTCCCTACACTTTTAAAAGAGGTGAATCAGAGGAAACCATACTTGCTTAGCATGAAACCCGCTTTAAGGTTATCCTATGGGTTCGGGTTGTGAGCAGTATTCTGCTTTAATATTTGCAAAAATGAATTTTTATTATTGCATTTTTGGGGGGAGCTTAAAAAAGTGGATACGTGCCTGGGAAATAGGGAAATAAATTCGATCAAAGAAGGGAGGTTTTTCAATTCTTGGCACAAGAGTGTGAAAAAATACAATTTTTTAAAAATAAAAAATAGGCATTCAATTCAGAAGGGTAAGCTGATAAAAGAATAAAGTAATAAAAGATAGGAAGCATGCCCTTTTGGGGTGATGTCATCTACCCCCATACTGGGTGTGCGAAGTGCTAAACGTGCCGGGGCAGCAGTTGGATACGTTCTCAAAAAAAACCCCAGGGGAAAAAAACATACCACATTAATTTTTGGGAATTTTAATTAAGTTATTAACAAACAAAGGGCAAGATTTTTTTTACCCTTTTCAACCACCAGTATTTGGGGGCATTTATTTTCCCAGACAAAATAATTGGTTATTTCATAAAAAGCCCCAAAAAAAAAAGGGAATCAAGATCAGTAAAAATTTTGCCAGTACAATTTTGAACATACAGGTTTTTTATATATGGTTTATAACTTAAGAAATTTAGTAATATAAATTTCATTTCATTGCATTAAGCACTGATACTGGACTAGTGCTATGTGATCATCAGTATCGCTTCAGACTCCAAGCAGTGAGGGTGGAGCATTCTAGTAAACAAATAGTTAATATGAGATGAAAAACTAGAAATTATAAAATATGAAGATGGTACATCGTATGCTAAAATGAATGAAGCATACAAGGAATAAAAATAAAATAAGAAGACATGGAATGGCTACAGTATCTTATATCTCAAAAGCAATTGTTAAAAATCATAGTTCTGAAATAAACATGGAATGTCTCTTAATGTTATGGAATGACGACTGCAGCCAGAAAAGAATGCCATTAAGTCAGATAATGATTCAAGTTAAAGCTACAAGTCTCTATTAAATGTCAAAACAAAAAAAATGGTAATGAAGGGGAAAATTTTTTGGCAAGTCATAGCTGGTTTTACCACTTTAAAAAGTGTATGGGACCCCCAGTGTTTGAATTACTGGTCAAAGTGCCAGTGCAGACAGTGAGACGAATGAAAGATTTCCCAATGATCTAAAAATACTGATTGAAGAAAATGGCTACAAAGACGAGCAAATTTTTAATGTAGATGAAATGGGTTTGCTATGGAAGAAGATGCCGTCATGCACTTATTTGGTGGAAAAAGTTATCACAACCAGACGATAAAGTCTCCAGAGATTGTTTAATACTTTTATTTTGTGGATATGCATCTGGAGATTTTAAATTAAAGCCGATGCTGGTGTACAGAACAGAAAATTCAAGGGCTCTTAAATCTTATTCAAAAAATGCTCTTCCCATTTTATGGCAGTCAGATAAGAAAGTCTAGGTAACAAGACAACTGTTTGAAGATTGGTTTGCAAATTATTTTTGCTCTGCAATTCAACATTATTGAAAAGGTAATGACATAGATTAAAAAATTTTGTAATTGGACAGTGCACCAGGTCATCCTACTTCACTGTCTGACTTGAATGAAAATGTCAGGGTAATTTTACTGCTACCGAACACAACATCATTATTGCAGCCAAAGGATCAGGGTGTCGTTGCTACATTTATGGCCTATTATTTAAGACATACTTTTGCACAATCCATAAAAGTAACAACAGGAGAAAATGCCATAAGTTTAAATGAATTTTGGAAAGGTTACAATATCCAAAATGCAACTGAAAACATAAGTGAATCGTGGCTTGAAGTGCAAGCGACGTGAGAGCTGTTTGGCAATTTCTTTTGTCGCATTGCTCCAATGATTTTGCCGGTTTTGAATCCTATGTTGAAACTGTTTGTGAATATGTTGTGCAACTTGGGAAAGATCATCTCAGATTAAAAGCTTTGGACTGTGAAAATGTGCATCAATACATTGACTCACATTCTGATGATCTTGATGATGCAATACTTGTGGAAATGGATTAGCAATGTTTATATGAAGAAACAAAGGAAAATCAAGAAGAAAATGCTGCGCCTACGAAAGAATTCACATTGGATGAACTATCAATGTTAACTGCGAAAGCAGAAGATGCTTGTGACTTTATGATGAACGTGAAGGCATTCGAGTTAGACAGGCATAACAAAATTATATTCGACTCTATAAACATATGTATACTGATAAAAAGAAAAAACTGTGTAAACTATGCTGTTCAACTATTTTTCAAAATAAATTTTTTTTTCTTTATCGTATGTATTGTACAGTATTTACAACTGTAATAAAAATCTTTAGTACTACTATTTTTTGTTTTTATATTTTGTCATTTCTTTATTTGCAAGTGTGTGCAAGAGTTTCGTGTGAATTGATTTGTACTAAGCAAACAGCTAAATATTTTTGCGATCCAAAGCATTTAATCGTATTGCTGGAATGCATTACATTAAAACATTGTAATAATACCTTGATCAGTACGGTACTGAAAAGTACAAAATTTTTTGACATTCATTAACTGTACTATGCAAGGTATTGCTGTATAACTGCAATTCTCCAAATTACACAGGATTCTAAGATACAATGTATATAGTGGAGCCCCGACTTACGATGGCCTCAACCTACGATAAAACCGACTTACGATGCTTGTCAGCATGAAAATTTGACCCCAACCTACGTTGAAAAACTCGACTTACATCATTCGTCCTGAACGCGGCCGTCTGGTCCATCTGGCCTGAGCGCCTCAGCTGAGCTAGTGTGACATTGTTTACAAGCCGGGGTGGATGGTTGCACGCATACATTCAATAAATTTTGTATTATTCCAGTGTTTTTAGTGCTTGTAACTGCTAAATAAGCCACCATGTACCCAAAGAAAGCTTCTAGTGCCAACCCTGTGGTAAAAAGGGTGAGAAATATTATCGAAATACTATCATACCACAGTCAGCTGCTGCTGCACCATGGTCAGCTGTACTACTTGAAGATGTGGAAAGTGTTGTTGGTGTGGCTTATCGAGAATACTGAGAAACAATTAACCCCAGAGGGTTAACCACCCAGGATAACCCAAGAAAGTCAGTGTATCATCGAGGACTGTCTAACTTATTTCCATTGGGGTCCTTAATCTTGTCCCCCAAGGATGTGACCCACACCAGTTAACTAACACACAGGTGAACAGGAAAAAAATGCCTGGAACTAGTGCTCATATGGTGAATTTAAGGCCAGCAAAGGTTGGTGTGAGAGATTTAAGAATTGTAGTGGCATAGTGTGATAAGGCATGTTCTGGAAGAAAATGCCAAGCAGGACCTACATTACTCAGGAGGAAAAGGCACTCCCAGGACACAAACAGCATCTCATCACTCACATTGCACTGCTGGCCTTGCTACTGGCAAGTCACAGTCGCTCCTCAAGTAGTGTCCCTGTGATTCCCGTTGGGGAGGGGAACCTCTACCTCGCCGATTACCCACCTCAAGAGCTCAAGATGAGTTGCTCCAACAGAGTCAAGATTAAACCTTCCAGCGGTTTGATCAACGACTCCACCAAGCTTGCCCTTGCAGTGGCTGTCAAGGGCTTGAACATCAAGGTCAACACGATCCTTTCTCTTCAAGAATCCTTCATTATCGTCTGCGAGGACGATGTGGAGGCCGAGAAACTACTGACTGCATCTGCCCTGACTACACTAGAAGAACGTGGCTACAGAATCATGTCCTCTCCAGCCTTAAGGGATAAGAGGACTGTCTTTCTGAAGTGCCTGGACAAACTGATTACATCTCAGACCATCGAAGACCTCAAACAATCTGTCGAAGACCAGAACCCATGGGCCACCGTGGAAAACATTAACAAGATTCCCACAGCCTCTTCAATGCTCAAGATCACCTTTACTGGCATCACAATGGCTTCCCAAGCTATGGCTGAGGGACTAGCCATCTACTATTACTTCATCAGCGCCTGCCACATTGAAGCTGAACGTTACCATCACGTCACTCAATGCTGGACCTGTTTTTCTTACCTCCACTCATCAAAAGACTGCCCCTCAAAAGACAAGAAATTCTGTTCCACCTGTGGTAATGAGGGCCACGACTCCAGGACATGCTCTTCCACTGCTACTCTCAAGTGTCTAAACTGCAAGAATAACCACCACACTCTCGCAGCTAAATGTCCCACCCGTCGTGAAATCATCAAAAAGAACATAGAAGCAGATCAGAAGAAGTCTCCATCCAGATCACCCACGTTTGCTGCTATCGCCAAACTGCAGGCTGACACCACCAAACTCCTGAAATCAGCCCAGCACTCCACCACCACTATCTCCACACCAGCATGTGACTCAACAAAAATACAGTACTGCCTACTGTTTGCTCACATGCACAACATGACAGCACCAGGCTCCTTCAACACTACCATCAATGAACTTTTCAGACTAAATAACATGCTGGCATTCACCTTCCCAGACTCTCCACCTTCTGCTGACATAATCAAGCTCACCCAAGCATCAGGAAATATTACCACTCCAATAACCACAACAAAAGATACAATGCAAGATACAACAAACACAACAACAACAACAACTCCACCGTAGCCACTGACCAATCAGCAGCCTCACCTGATCTACCCGAGACTGCCACCACCTCTGCCGACCTACACCTCGCATCTCCATCTCAGTCACCAATGGCAAAAAAAGCTAAAATACTTCCACCTGTGAGTCGTCTACAAGAAACTCCACATCCACTAGAAACAACAGGAGCAGACCTGAACCTCAGACCCACAGCACCTATCACCCTGTACACATGCATACCAGACTGCTGCATCCTGCATGCAGGCCAAGCTATATACAGCATACGAGATGGCCACGTCAAGTACACTGTTGCACCAGGAACTGACCTACAGACCACCAACGCCTTACTAGAAGACCTAGGCAACGACAAACAGCACAGGGTAAAACTTGTCCTGCTCTAAAAATCAGCATATAAAAAAATCACAAACGGCTCCAACACTACATGGTATGATCACACAAGAAGTCACGTCATCACTAGCTGCCGCCTCTAGCCCGCCTCTCGCCTCGCGCCAGTCTCCACCAATCACAAGCCAGTCAACACCACGCGCTGATGAGATGCACACAGCAGTGCTCCCGAGTCATCAATCAAGCCTGCTCGCGTATCCTGACTCGCAAGCTCCTTCCTGCAGACTCCTTCACATTCAGCTCTGCTGCTGGGTCAAGCCCTGGCTCTTTCTCTAAGACTAAGGACACTCCTCTCAAGATCTAGTCTTCGTCTGTCCAGTCTTCCCTGCTCACCCCTCGGGGTCTTACCTAGAATATCTTATCATCACTCACCACCACATCTTCAATAAAGGTGTCATTTATTCTTCATTAACTACACTAGTACATGCACAATATATATTGTGCATGTATCCTTCTTGTTGTGTGTAGGAAAATGTATATTTCATGTGGTAAAAATTTTTTTTTCATACTTTTGGGTGTCTTGAACGGATTAATTTGATTTCCATTATTTCTTATGGGGAAAATTAATTCGACTTATGATAATTTCATCTTACGATGTGCTCTCTTGAACGGATTAATATCGTAAGTCGGGGGTCCACTGTATTTCAACCAAAAGTGAAAAATATTAATCAGGTGTATTAATATCACTGTCATTAGAGCAAGATTACAATTCTAAGCCTTTCTACAAATATGCTCATACACAGGGTTATGTTAATACTGTTGGTCTATTTCCAGAACTCACAGCAAATTTTCTAAACCAAGGATCCCCATGCCACGAAAGTCAGTCTGTGGATCATCACCTTGAAAACCAATGATTTGCCACTGCTTCGTTATCCTTGTCTGTAAGGAAAACAAACCCAAAAATAAACAAATAAAATTGTCTAACAAATGATTTGTCACATGTAAAATTTAACATATGTAATATATAGAAGAAAGTAAAACAAAACAAAAATGATACTGCATACTGAAACTACTACTATACAATATATAAAATAGCTAACCTCAAGTATGACTCCTGGCATTAAGGCAGCCCAAAGCCTTTGCAACTTCTCCTCGTGGCTTGGAATTGTCGAGTCAAACATCTCTCTGCGTATAATTTCTATTTCAGCAGTTAACTGTCGATAGCCCCAGATTTGAGTTAGGCATTCCCCTAAGATGTCTGTGAATCTGTGAAGATTACCTAGAATAATATCTTGGGAAACAGCAATTCCATGTGCTAACATACTGTATACAGTATTATTATTACCACATCAACCATTTATAAATAAATAAATGAAATAAATAAATAAGCAATATTCTGTATACAGCCTCTCCTCACTTATCGATTGAGTTTGTTCCTGAGACCACATCGTTAAACAAATTCGTCACTAGGTGAGAAGCATACTATAATTATAGTGAGTTTGTGTCAGCCATCTTGGATATTGTTTTACTGTCACTTTTGTGCCATTTATAATATTTCTGGTTTAGTTTTAAATGTTTATACAGTAGTGTGCTTTATACTGAAATAAACAGAATATAGGAAATCAGTTTTAATATACATTACTTAGGTATGAATACTGGTCAGAGAGCCCATCGTAAGTCCAAGGCATCGGTAAACGAGTGCATCGCTAAGTGAGGAGAGGCTGTATTATTATAATAAAAAAGAAGCGTTAAATCTACAAGGGTCATACAGCAATATTCTGTATACTATTATTATTATAATGAAAAAGAAGTGCTAAACCTACAAGGGTCATACAGCAATATTCTGTATATTATTGCTATTATAATCAAAAAGAAGTGCTAAACCTACAAGGGTCATACAGCAATAGTCTGTACAGCTATTATTTATTTTATTTTCATGATAAAACACTAAACCCATGTGGGTCATTCACCGCAAGACGTGGTGGAGGCTTGATCCTCCATCTGAATAACTTTTTTTTTTATTATAAATAAGTTGATTCCTACCCAGGCAAGGCATCTAAAAAAAAAAAAGTCACTATTACTTATTCCTTAGCTGTTTTTTTTTTTTTCAGAAATACATGTGTACTGCAATTCATATGATTCACTAAACTGCAATATTCCCATCCATTATTTGGTGTAGGCACTGGCTGGATTGCTTATATATTGGGGCCTCCCTTATATACTCAGTGTTGGGAGGGTTGTCTTTCAGAAATTTCATTACAAGTCACTTTGTTATATCACATTACCAAATGGGTAGTAACAGCATTTAATGTATTTATGATTTAAATATTTACAGGACATGAAAAATGCCGACATTATGTGTTTACACTGCACATATGATATATATACGTATATACTGTATACAGTATGTAATTCTTCTTAAAAGACATGGCAGTGATACATTTAATTTTGATATCCTTAAAACTACTGTATTTTGCAGCTTATAAGAAGTGGTTATGAGACTTGTCTTAGTTTCAATGGCTCGGCATCGGACGTAACTGGGAGAGCTACAGCTCACCCCACGCCCCAAACTTATAGCTCCCATCACTGACCTTCAGTTTATAGAACACAGGGTGGTTTTTGGAGACATTTTATTGAAAAAAAAAAAAAAGTGTCTAATAAGCAGCGAAATACGTTTACTATTTCTTTGTGATGAAAAATATGAAAGTGTACATTTGAACTGTCTTCCTGAACAAACTCTTAGTTACAGATCAAGGGAAATTATAAATTTACAAACTACTATTTAACCCTTAAACTGTCCAAACGTAGATCTACATTTTTTTGACATTTGAAAGTATGTAAACAATGTAATCTTATTTTTTTTTACATTTGAAAGCGTGTAAAAAAAACTTTGATCTACTTTTTATTTTTTGTTATATTTGAAAATCTGTAAAAAAACCGTAGATCTACTTTTGGAGTACTACGCATGTGAACGTTTAAGGGTTAACATCAGTAGTCATTGTTATACATGTACATGATATATGATATGATATGCAATAGTAATCATTTCTTAAAAAATAAGAGATGTATGTGAATGCATGTGACAATTTTAACTGAATGTTTAAACTCGTTTCCTCTCATTGGTTCTCCCTATTTCAGTGGGAGGTAACTGGTGTATTTAAAATTAATAATAATAACATAGACTATAAAGGAATAAAACACTAAATGCAAATAAAGCTACACTAGCCCATTACCTTTTGTGAATCTTTGTGTTGATCATTTTGATCCTGACAATAGCAAATACAGCATAGTAGATGAGGTCACGCTTCAGGGTGCATTCTTGGCATTTGCTGTCCATATATTTGACACACTTTTGGATCTCTGGAGTGCGACTGTGCTTGAGCGAGAATTCTGAAACATACCTCCTCAATGATTTACTGTAGTTGAAGGTCCTTGTATGCACAGTATCTGTCAAGGTATGCTAATTATGCTTAACACCTGGAGAAACCTCTTAAATACAGGTGGTAAGAAATGGAGGTCAGGTTACAAACATAAAACACTTCTTGGAAAATTAGTTTCACTAATAGCAAATTATACTTTGTTAAAAATATAATGTATATCCTGCAGAGTACATGTATATGTAAAGAAAATATTCATTTTCACCCACCAACACCACAAGTCCTTTGAGCTCCTTTGTATTCGCCATAGCATATACGTTGTAGCTCACACAATCTGGTGGTACGTCTTAGTACCCACTTGATCAGTGGACGCATCCACCAATACAACGTGCTCCATATAATGCCAAACATCCTTCTGTTAATACAAATAAAGCAAGGTGAGTAAAATTAATCCATTCATCTACAGTAGGCATCACAAATATGCATGTGCATAAGTACGCCTTTAGCAGACTATTTGCTGACTGTCTCGAGAAGTGTAGGGAAACTTTTATATGCAAGACAATGCCCCTTGCCATACTGCCAAAAAACACAAGTGGCTGGATAAATATTTAGATCGTGAAATTTTGATCTTTAATGACTGGCCTGGTAACTTACAGGACTTTGATCCAAACAGAGAACATTTTCAACCTTATTAAGCATAAGCTTTGTGGCATGGATGTGCCCACTATCCCCAAACTCTTGAGTGCCATTAAGCACATGCAGGAGGGGTATCAACTCTTCTATCTTCCATACTTGAGCCTTATCACTGCCTAGGACACATAAGTTATGTGAGTAACCCATACATATTTCAGTATTTTATGTTTAAAACAATGATTTATAGGGAGTGTTCTCATTATCTGCATGATGACTTTATGAAAGTGTATACATATGATGCCTACCACACTGTATATCCACACTTAAGTAAAGCAATGTTACCTTCTTTTCCTCTCCAAAATGGAATAAGTTGCAAATCAATGCCTCATCAGCATGACCTCAAAATTGGACAAATTATTGGAATCAATAATAATGGATGCACTACAAATTTAGCTTGACAAAAGTAATTCCAATACATCAAAGTCTGAACATGGCTTTTGACAGTTTTTCTAGAAAGGCATAAAAAAAAAAGTGGTAGCATACAGTATTGGAAAACATTCTGTCCTGGATTGCGGCAAGGCTGGTATACTGGCCCATGCTAAAAGTAGTAGTCAGGGTTACTATGTAACGGTGGGATTTACTGTTTTTAAGGAGGACTCGTGTTAATACCTCAGAGATGACGAAGTTGCCTTTCTTCTTTTTAATAATGCCTGAAATAGAGATTTGTGATGATCAAGGCATTTTTGCCTGTGAAAATTTGGTGCTTTAATCACTAGGCACATGTTGCTGAATCTAATCAAATGGTTGGTAGTCAGGTGTTGAACACATGCACTGTTCAAGTCGTTGCTTCTGCATGCAGTGATGTGTTCACTCGGATGTTTCTAAGCTTCGTGCTGCTTCAACAACAGCTACCTTGTCACAGCCTCTACAAGGAATTATGTAAACCTGTGCATTGACTGGTTCAAGTTGTTCCACTTTGGAGAGGCTCAAGGCAACTTGGCTGTTGGGAAGGAATATAACTTTGTTTACAGTGGTGTTAGTGCTTGGAGAATTGATTTAAAGAGCTCTTTTCTTACAGTATGACAAAAAGAAAGGAAAATGTAGCTCAGTGAAAGTTTGGTGTATGTATGCACATTCCTCATAAAGAGACCCCAGGGCTGAAAACTCGGCATAAAAGTTGGTGATGATGCCTTGTGTGGTCTTAGTATCTTGACTGGAATAGAAGTGCTAATCCAAAATCATTATTGTTTGTAGGCTTCCTGAAGACCTGGAATTTTAGGGTGTTACCTACTTTGTGGGTGAGGACGTCAAGGACCAGTAATTTGTCACTGGACTCTTCAAGTGTGAACTGGATGGCTGATTCAACTGCATTGAGCCTTTTCTGTAGATTTTGCATATCAGAATGTTTGGGAATGATTATGAGGATGTCATACAAATATCTTAACCATATGATGATGGTGGCTAAGCATTCAGTTTCTAAGTGCTCCAAGTACAAGTATGCCAAATTGGTGCTGATGGAAGCCCATACACATGCCATATGTTTGTCTGTAGAGCCTGTTGTCGAGAGAGAAACAGTTAAAGTTAACGCAGAGTTGAATCTTGTTGATTAAATCCCTAGGGAGCACTCGAAGATTAAGGTCCATGGTGGGGAACCTTTGTGGACAGGTTATTTAAACTACTGTTCTTAGTTTCTTGTTATGGACAGAGATACCTCTAATATGACTTCCATTACCACACTACTCTACAACACTGATCCTCCACCAACCACCTGACGAGATTCAATGATGTCCACGTAGTGAATTCCCAAACCAAGTCCTTCCAGGCAAACTGCCTTTAATCTCTATTAAACAGAATAAAGGCACAAGTCCTTAAAACAATAACCTCCACTATTACATAGCAAAGAAGAATTGCCTCTACTACTACCATTAGCATGGGCCAGTAGGCCTACTGTTGTGTATAGGCCTACTGTAGTGCTTACGTTCTTTCACATAACTTAACGTATATATAACTCGTGTCCTTGATTGTATAGGTTGTATAAATCACGTTTTATACAACCCCCTCAAGGGAGGTTCCTTGACGCTGATGAGGGGCTCTTGATCTAGGGAATTGAATATGTGCTCCAGTTCCCTGAATTAAGTCTGAATACCTTCCATCCCCCCTCCACAGGCGCTGTATAATCCCTACGGGTTTAGCGCTCCCCATTATTATAATAATACAACCACCTTAGAGCCTTAAGAGTAAACTGACCTGTGTATTTAAGCTAAAGCTTAAATTTTTTTAACATAACTGTCTGCCAATACGTACAGTGAAATCTTCATTGTAGAAGAGGAAGGTTTAATAGAAGAGAGAGGAGGGAGGCTAAGCAGGGTAATAATAATAATAAGAGTGGTGGTAGTGAGAGGTGTCAGCCACCACCACCACTGCCGGAAGTGACGTCAACTATCATAACAAACAACCATCTCATCAACATCAGTTTTTAACCTAAATAAATGTATTTACTGCCTTTCTTGAACTGAAAAGTACTCATAATATTCAAACAAATGCTAGAACTTTCGTACCTTTCATAACTTCACCATTTTTATCAGGTTTTATAGTCATTGAAGAGTTTGTATGAATAAAGCATAAATTGCTGACTAGCAAGGTTATAATTAAGCGAAATAGCTTTGAAACTTAACTGCCTTATTTATAGTTATGCAGCAAAGTGGTTTAGGAAGAAAGAAAGTGGTTATAATATGTTTATAGTCAGTATGGAAGGGTTGGAAGCTAAGAGTTCAGTAGTAAGCTAACAGTATGGCGGAGGAGTGTAAGTGAACAGCAAGATGGGAACCCTCATATGGAAATTATACTTAATTTTCAGCCTCTTGGAGATTGTCAATAACCTGGTTGGCAATGCAGACGGCCAGAGTCATGGTGAGTAACGTTGTCATGTTATTTTGTGAGAAGTGAGGGGTGTAGAGAGGTGTTTATGAGGTTGCACTAGTAGCGGGGTTCTGGATGGCTGCCAGGAGGGTCGAGCCTTTGCAACTATGACACTGTTTGCAATAATTGATTTTCGCACTGGAACGTTCTAATTGACTCGTTGCTGGCTGGTGTTATGCCTGTAATCAGGCACAGAATTACTGATAAATCTGTGAATTTCATTGAGGTTTTGTTATCTGGAGCAGGGGAAATGAATGAATTTTTTTCCCCTCCCACCTAAAGTCCCGTAAGGAGAATGTTTACACACTGGCACACTTATATTGAAAATTATATTGGACGAGTTTCACTGGATAATATCCTTGGTCTGTGTTAAGCTCATTGACAAGAATTGTGGAAATGCCTTTATTTAGCTAATTCTAAATGCATCAAGTTGCCATTTATGATTTATATCCATGTATTAATGACTGATGTAGTTTCACGTCTTTTGGAGATTTTTTTTTCCTCGCATAAGTTCCAAACTTATGAAGCACTGAATTACAAGCACTTCTGTGCTTGTAATTCAGGTGTCTCATAATCAACGTTATTGGCATGACCTTGAAAGGTAACCTTGATCATGGTTGAAATGGGTCATAACACTTGACAAGATGATAAACACACAAGTACTTAGAATATTATATTAAAAATGGTTTCAATTCTAGAATCTTAGTCTCTTTTGCTACACGTGGGGTAGGAAGTAGAAAACTGGCTATACATAAGCAAGGAGACAGGCTTCAAACACACGTCTCTTGGCTGAGAAATACATGTGTTTTTCAGCCATGTATAGTGAGTGAACAAGGTCCCAGAACTGAAACGTTTCTTCATTATAATGCCGTAAATAATTTACTTGTCTTATCACAACCTTGATCGGTGTAGTAAAGTTAATCCAGTGGACAGGGCTTATCGAAAGATGATTACCAAGAGATCACGGTCACTGGATAAATAGTTGCTGCAGCATAGTGGTAGTACCATTGGAAGCACGAACTACCTAGCTACAGATCTCTTGGTGGTTTCTTTTACTGCTCTGCAACCATACTTTTTTTAAAGGATCCCGGTGGAAATGCGTCACATTGTTTGATTTCATTAGTTTAACAGAGTTGAATCTACATAATTCATTCAACACCAGTGAGCCCTCGAAACCATTGTAAGTGTCAACATTCTTATGGAAACTAAATAAAAGCTTATTAGGAGTCTACAGGTTAATTTTGCGTTGCAGATTAATTATCGGTGGCAAATTTTGTCTGTTGAGGCCGTGAATTGTTTCCCCCAACTTCGCCAAACATTGTGATCAGTTCAATTTGATTTTTCTACTGCAACATTAATTTCAGTATGGAATTTGGATGTCATAAATTCTTATTTCTTTACGAGTGATTGAATGCTAGAAGTAGTAGTAGCAGTAGTAATAATTTATTATAATATAACAGTATGGTATAAATTTCCAATACCATGTACAAGGTTTTTATTTGCCCGATTGGAAGTATGAAGACCATCAAATTATTTTTTTTAAATAAGATCGGACGCGTGATAATTCCAAAGAACTACCGACACTGGTGACTTTTTTCCCACAATCTCATGGGTGGCTTGACCCTTTGGACGTTCACCATATCCGTGGGTCAGAGGCGACTTGTTAATCTTGTCTGTATCTCTTGACGCCAATATTGAGCTAGGGCTAGCTGATGTTGATTTTTATGGTGTAGCCATGAATAAAGTGTCTTGTTTACGAAGTCAGCTGAAACAAACAGGGGGGCCACCAAGTTTATTGACTGTGGTCGCCGTCACCGAGGACATTAGTGTACGACTGATGTTTCTGTATGTTGCAGATTCCCTCAGGAAAGGTGCCTTGAAGCCAGTGAGGGGACACTGATCCAAGAAGGTGGAATTGTTTGCTTGGATAGAACCTGATTGCCATTCCCTAGGTTCTTCCCCTATTATGAATGTAATAATAAACATTACACATGGGTGAAGATAGGCAGTGTTTTTTGTTTTTAAGCTGATGAAACGTATTCGCCAACAGTTATCTTGTTTGATTTTATATTATCAATGTGGCGCAACCGGGCGAGTGCTTACGCTGGTTTCCCGGAAGGGACATACTCCCTCAAAGTCGTTGAAATACCCTATACTCTCGGATTGTTAGGTATATCCAAAGGGGTGCCCTATAGTTTCGAGAACAAGTTTGGGAGGAAGGAGAGGGGAGTATATAGATCATCCTAGGCGTTAAATTAATATTCGCTCCTTGCTGTTTTATTCAGGGAAAGGGGCAGGTGCAGTGTGTGTGTGTAATTTTAGCGAAAATAGCAACATGGCAGAATAGTGACATTATATATCGAAAAGCCTTTTCGAACGACACCATATTAGCTTGGTATAGTATGGCTTTGTGGTATATCTGGTCAATGTTTAATTATGGGCAGGTTGATAGTGTCCGAACAAAAACTTGACAGCAACTATGGCCCTATTTCACAAGGTGTCCGCCAACATAATCTTACTTCAGCCATCGCCTGTCCCAAGCTTTTTATTATATTCGTAAACATTGTTAAATCTTTATCCTATTGTTACAAGTGTATGACTGGTAGCATAAAATATTACAATTAATGTTCGTTTTTCCCCACGGTTTATGTGTAATTGAGATTACTGTAGAATTCTAGAATATTGTGCTACCTATGATCGTACGTTTGCTTAGTGTAGATTTTATTTCATTATAGCTAAAATATCTAATGTATTTTATAACATTAGCTTTGTGCGGTAATTGAGAATAGCAAGGTTTTGGATCCTAATAATAATAAAAAAAATAATCAAATGTGGTCTTTACGAGATGATTGTTCTCTGGCTCTTATTAAGGATAACCTATGTATTCATCAGGGTGCCAGGACAGTTTGCTGATAACCGAGAGGTACCTGATTACAATCCTGGACAGGGCAAGGTTAATGGGAAAGTGTTTCTTTAGCCTACTATTCTCATATCAACACGTTTGTAGCAAATTGGTACCTGGGTGCTGCTAAACTTTTGAGTCTCATCCTTGGGGGTCACGTTAGGCCTGAAGGACCTTGATAAGTGCTTCCTGTACACAATACAATTTATTTCTTCAAGTTGTGACGAAAATATTTCATATAAGTAGTTAAACCTCAGTTGATGTTGCAAATAGTTGGTACATGTAGAGTACAACCAATGCTAGACTGGATTATTATTCGCCTTCTATAATCGTCTGCGGGCCAGATGGGAGTGGTCAACCCTGGAATATTAGGACGAACAAAAACCCCAACATACTTTCATAAATGAAAGTTAATAATGTTAGTTATGCGAATAAATATATAATTAAAGTTAATTTTGATTGCAGCATGGCATTAAAATGATGGATTCTGGTCAGTTATAAGTAAGAGTTTCCTTAGTAGTAGCCTATGGAAGTCTTGCTGGTACTAACGGGTAGCGTCTCCGAGCTCTGCCCAGCCCTGCTTTTTCGTCTTTTTCCTTTCTCGGTCCGGAAAATCTTTAGAATTGAGACCGTGGTATTTGGGGCTCAATCGCCGTGGCCATTAACTGGAGCAACTCTTATTTTACTTTTTTATTTTGTGAATGAAATAGCCGACCTAAATATTGACAAGTCAATGTACCTGCCTGGCCTTTGAACGTTGACGCTCTGACTATACTGAATCGTTTATTAAAATGCCATTGGGATTGAAGATCATGGCGTGACCTTTGGGAAGTGCTTGAAAATTATTTATACGGCATTATTTGTATATTAATAAAAAATATTAGTATTAATGTTTGAATGCAAAATAGTTCTCTTTAAGTGCCTATAAATTATATTATAATTTGTTGATACGTCGTAGTGTCCTCGTGGAATTTAAAAGAAAAGTTTGAAATTCACAGCGTGGTAATCTGGCATTAAGCTGTGCTGGCGTGAAAATGATTGTCTGGTGTATATTTAAATTTACATTTTTAATTTTTTTTACTTCCCCGGGAAAATATTCCATTTTGGTTGCTAATAAATATTAAATTTACATTGTATCACTATTTCTGGTTTGAACTGAATACAGATCATTAAGGGAAGCAAAGGAAAGGAGCTTTACCACCACCTGAATAGGCGGTGGTGTTAATTTATTCTTCAGGAAAAATCGCTTAACACAGGCTTCTGTCTTAAGGTGGACACGTCCAGTAGTGTCTGTCCTACAGTTGTTGGTAGGGGCATCCCCCTCCCTCCACTATGGTAGGACCCCTATCCCGCCCCGCTCCATATGGTAATCTCTTTGCCCTGGGGTGCGGCGTAGCTCACTTCAGAGTATTCGACACGGTCGCAAGATCCCAGGGTCGAATTCCTGGCACGGGTAAACATATGGGCAAGTTTCCATACATTTCTTATATTCTTGCATTCCTGACACTAAAAATAGTTAACTGTGGAAGAAATCGCAATAAAACGCGTGATTTCAAATATGAAAAAAAAACACCACAGTGGAAATAGGAAACAAAACCTGAACGTGTAAGCACACGAAAGCGATCAGGTTTTGTTTCCTGTTTTCACTGTGGTATTTTTTTCATAGTTACCTGTCTTAGAAAAATGTGGGTTGCACTCGGAAAAAAAAGATGCTAAACTTCAGTCCTGTTGTAATGTTATTTCCCGGTGAGAAACCAATTCATTTCTATATAATTAATACTCCCAGCAGGTACTGAAGTTTGTGTTAGGTAAAAAGGCATCCGTGTACCTAGTGTTAATAAAATCTTCTCCCTTAAAAAATACTTCCCCCCAGTGGCAGATCAACCAGACTGAATAAGTTGGCCACGTGACTGCCAGCAGCAGCAACCTGGTTGACCAGGCAAGCACCTGGCGAACCTGGCCCAGGGCCGGGCTGCAGGCGTAGACAAATTCTCTAAACCCTTTCTTGGTATATTTCTCTTGGATATCTAAAGCTCACCCTTAAAAATTTTTCTCCCTACACATAGTACACCTACCTACCTGGAGGTAG